TTGTATGTCATTGGAATCCGCTATTATGACTGTTGTTATTATTATTGTTATTATTATTATTATTATTATTATTATTATTATTATTATTATTATTATTATTATTATTATTATTATTATTATTATTATTATTATTATTATTATTATTATTATTATTATTATTATTATTATTATTATTATTATTATTATTATTATTATTATTATTATTATTATTATTATTTTGTTATTATTAACACCGCATTGCTATTCTATAAGGTGGCCAAACTACTGCAATTAGTTTTAACTTTAATACTCTTGTTATTAATATTACTATAACTAGGGCATATTAAATTTATCATTATATTTTTACTAAGTATTTATCATAACCTATAAAAATTCCTCATTCTCAGACGACATAAAATTCTCAAAACGTGAATAAATCTCAATAGATATTCAAGGGAAAGAATTATTTAATCGACAAATATATTCCATCTATACATAAATGTCTCAAAATTTTAGGCATTTTTCGTACGCTTTTCCTCGTGACTAACAAGCATATAAGAAGTGTTTACGGGCACTTGGTAACTCTTACACGAGTCTGGCAAATCCTTATCAATTTTTTCTTGGAATTTCAGGTTGGATGTGTAGCTCATGTTGGTGTTGAATTCTTCTTGGTTATGAGTTGGTGATGACAAGTTTAAATTACTTCCTGTTCTCGGCCGCCCTTGTGTCAATAACTCACCAAACTTCATTTTTATGCCAAGTGTTGCTATTTTCTTCGTGTTTTCCTGTTTATGAAGGTCTGAAGTGTGTTTGGCAGGGGGTGTTTGTGTTGGTTCTAGTGTGTGAAGGTGTTAAGTGTGTGTTTGTAAGGTATGTTTAGGCGTTTGTGTGTGTGTGTGTGTCTGTGGTTGTTGTTTGTGAAGGCGTTGAGTGTGTTTGGTGTGGCAACCATACCACCTCCCCCACCACACACCAACCCCACCTCCCCACCTCCCCACCTCACACACTAACCCCCCCACCCTCCCCACCACACACACCAACCCCACCTCCCCACCTCCCACCACACACTAACCCCAATCCCCACCTCCCCACCACACACTAACCCCACCTCCCCCACCTCCCCACCACAAACTAACCCCACCTTCCCAACACACACCTACTCCACCTCCCCACCACATCACCTCCTCACCTTACCTGGCCAACTCACCTGGGGGTAGCAATTTAATTAGACACCCCCCCCCCCACCAACGTCATTAAGAACCAATCCTTGGAAGCATTTTGGCCCCTAATGAGCAGTTTAGGTCGATTAACGAACCCGAATGAGTGTTTTACGTGTATTGAAGTTACATTATTAATTACCTGGTCGCGAAAGATGACATTTTGTTTTCACCTGAGGATTTTAGTATCTACCTTCATTGTCTTGTTAATCAACTATCTAAAGATCAGTAAATAAATTATGCAGGTAATGTATAAGTTATAATATCTAAGTATCTAGGAAAGAGGGAGAGAGAGAAAGAAAGAGAGAGAGACAGATAAAGAGAGATAGAGAGAAAGAGAATGCCTAACACACGCCGCAGTTACAGCTGAGATACAAGATAAGGTTACGGCACATTTAACACCATCGTCGTCAAATAAATACAAAAGTACCTAACTGTGAAATTGCTACGAGTTACATATATTTGCTGGGTAACTCCTGCCGTCTCTTGTTACAGTTAGTGTTATGCAAACTACCTTAGAACAACCTGAACAACTACTATTGTCAGGTAAACTATCCTGCAACAACTTTGAAACATCTGGATAACAACCAATTGACAGGTAACAACGCCTAACACTACTACCAACACTTAACACCACTACTAACACCTAACAACCACACTTAACACTTTTAATAAAACTAAACACCACACTTAACACCACTACCAACACCTAACACCACACTTAACACCACTACCAACACCTAACACCACACTTAACACTTTTACTAAAACTTAACCCACTTTATCTCCTCCTTTATGACTGTCAGTAACCAGGCTCTTGTGGTGTTACTGTGAGAATGGGTCAATAGTTTCATGCAACTTTATGATAACCTGTGTTCGAAAATGTTGTCCATAAGTATGCAAAGTGGATATGTAAATTTTCAACCCACACTGAGAATATACGTCATAGATAAACATAATGCTCTCTCTCTCTCTCTCTCTCTCTCTCTCTCTCTCTCTCTCTCTCTCTCTCTAATTATTTCATATATATAGACCAATGTGTTATGTACAACCACAATCACAACAACAACCATAACCATTGCATCTCTGTATCAACAACAGCCACCACCACTACCTCTGTGTTACAGGTCAAGGTCACATATTGAGGTCATTTAAGGTTAAGTTAGTATCCCTTCCTCTGTTTGTTTACTCTCTCAATATAAACTCTCAAGAAAAATATAAACAACATCTCCAGGAGTCTGTATGTATCTCATGTTTGTCTTCTGTGATGCCCAGACTTCTGACGAGATGGAATGTCTGGTGTACCGAGAGATAAATGGAGAAAGAGACAGAAACAGACAGACAGACAGACAGACAGACAGACAGAGAGCATCACACTAGACGGAAGGGATGTTACAACTCTCCAAGTCCGGGTTTGAGAGGCAAGAGCCGACCGCCTTTAAAACGCGCCAAGGAAGGAAATTGGTAGCCAGCAAACTAATATTGGTCGACGGTGTTTACGCCTCAAGGTTTACTCCAGAGGCACAGGCAGTAGAACCCCCTGAAGCGTGAACCTTCCTCGCCTCTCTCATGAAGATTTGAACCTTTTTTTGTAAGCCGTCCTAAACCCTGGAGTCATCACATGGAGCATTGGATCTACTTGAAAAGAACTGAACCCTTTGATAACGTCCTTCAACTATCTGGGGGAAGAAATGAACCCTTTGCAGGATATTTAAACCCCCTAAGCGTGATCCTCTTAGTGAAACATTGACTCCCCAACGAGGCTTTGAAACCCTTATAACATAGACAGAGAGACAGACAGATATAAAGAGAGAAATAGACAAAAATGACAGACAGTTAAACAGAAATAAGACGACAGAGAAGCACACACACATAATGTCTACCATCTCTCATAAAATGATTCAAAATATTCATGTATATCCTCTCACCTCCCTCACCTTCCTCATCTCCCTTACCTCCCTCACCTCCCTTACCTCCTTCATCTCCCTCACCTCCCTCACCTCCCTCACCTCCTTCACCTCTCACCCCCTTACCTTCCTCACCTCCCTCACTTCCATCACCTCTCTCACCTCCCTCACCTCTCATCTCCATAACCTCCCTCACCTCCCTCACCCCCTCATCCCCCTCACCTCATCAGAGACTATAGCGTTCCTTGGCATCATTCCCGCCTCTGACAGTGCCACTAACTCATGAGGTGCCACCCTGATCACCGTGTCTCCTCCGGCACTCAGATATGTATGACAGTCACAGCACAACTCTCACTACAACACCTGGGACGTCACTTGGTGTATAATGATGTCAGGAAGTCAGATTGAGGTCAGACAGATGTGACATTGATGTCAGAAAGATTTCAGATTGATGCCAGAATGATGTCAGAATGTCAGAAAGATATCAGAACGATGTCAGAATGATGTCGGGAAGATGCCAGGAAGATGTCAAAATAGCATCATATACCTGTAGTGTAAATTCTTAGCAATATATATTTTTTTTGTTTTAAGTCGGTGAAATTCCCAGTGGTAAGTCTTGGGAGTCTTTTGAAGTGAATACACTTTTTGGTTTAGGATTTAAAATGTAAGTTTTTTAATTGCTTTATGAGGTCCAACGCTGAAGGGAATGTTAGAAACTGCCACGAAATGAGTCACTGGTGTTTGGCAGTGTTTAAAAAGACCTGGGTTAAGTAGGGTTAGGATTAGTTTAAGTTAAGTCAAGTTGGATTAAATTAGATTAACTTATACTTTATTCTCAGGAGAGTTAATGTTAATATTATAATTTATTTTGTTCTTTGTGGAGAATATTACTAGTAAGTTAATATTCTTACCCTCGTCTAAATCAACTAAGAATATTATTAACATCATTATTGCACTATTATTTTACTTTTTAAAGGGTATTATTATAAAATAATATTCCCTCCCTTAACACCGACAACCTCACACTACCGGGTCCAGTAATACTCCCCGGCTCAACATCTGTACAATATATTAAATCGTTCATATCAGCCGACCAAATCCCCCGATGATGGCAATTTTTTTCCAATGAATTTTATGAAATATTTAAATTACACATTTGGGATCACCGTTCATCATAGCTAATTAAAACATTAATTGTG